AAACTCTGTTTCAAGTTCTTTCATTAATGCAAACTCTGTTTCAAGTTCTTTCATTAATGTTGTTGATTCCAATCTTTGTGCTGCACAACAGGAACTGATATCCAAGCCACCAGATTTTTCTTCCCATACTTAGTTTGAGTTTTCATGAGCAGTAGTTGATGTGCAAGTTTTTCTGTAGTGCTGTTATCTCTGACATTTGCAACAACCACCCTAACCTCAATCTCCAGCCTTCGTGAGACTCAGTCACTCTATTTACCAATCTGAACATCATCCTGATTGCATTATCATGAACAATCTTGGTTTGGATTAAGCTCAATATTTGGGCAATTTGACTGCTAGTGGTAGGAAGCCAAGGGATCTTGCGGTTTTTCTTGAAACAATCAAAACTATTCCATACAATCAAAGAGGAGACCAAAGGACCTTATCAGTAACAATCAATGTTGCAGTGACCAGCTTGCACTGTCTTGTTTGGTGTAGAACAATCAAGAGATACAGCTGTACAATAAAGCCTAACAAAAAGGAAAGGATTAGATTTGCTCTGTCACATATTGATAATAATGGTGTCTTTGATCCAATGTATGGCAAGGTACATGTTGATGAGAAATGGTTCCTCATGAAGGAAGTAACAAGCAATGCATGTCTACTTGATGAAGAGCTTGAACCAGTTCACAAGACACCTTCAAAGCAGCACATCAAGAAGGTCCAGATTCAATCCTAAAAGGAATGCTTGGGTGGGTTTGATGGAAAGCTTGGTATCATATAGGCTCAGCCAACTGATTCCAGATGTGTCATTTGTACATTTTTAGTTATATTTGTACTCATATTGATATATTCCACTACTAGGACCCTCCAACTCCCTCATTTGGCTACTAGGATCCTGTTTTAAAATCCTTCCAACTCAAGTGCCTAACATTGTTAAGGATTTGTTGGGGACCAAGATACAGCTCAAAATGTCCATTCAGGACTAAAATAGGTAAAGATAATGGGCTATCTTTTTATCATGTAATGACTCATGGGATTAAAAATTCAAAATGTACTACTACTACCAGTACAGCAATAGCTTTTGCATGAAACTATCTGGTCGCAAGACTGGTGGGAATAAATTTGAGCACATGCCTGGCTGGGATTTTAGTACAATTCAGCTTTAAGTCAAAGCAGTCATTGCACAAAAAGGGCCCAAAATGCATGACTGTAAATTATATTTGGTACCATACAATATGCCCTATTGTGTAACAATACAGACCAGTGCAGAGATCTTCTGTAAATTGCCCCAGAGGTACAGTGGAATCCCACCCTATTATTGCCAATGAAGAAGTGTAGAGGAATCTCATAATCCAGAAAGTTCTGGTACCAGCTACTTACAAGAAGTTCCCCAGAGGCAATTGAGATGTTCGAAGTTGCATCATTGTTGAGGAAGACAATGCAAAGCCTCATACACTTAACAATAGAGCAGCTGTAACAGCTGCAGCTTGTGATAACAACTGGGATATTTTTGTGAAGCCACAATTGCCAAACAGTCCTGACTCCAATGTTCTTGATTTGGGATTTCTCAATTCCATCCAGAGCATTAAGCACAAGTAGTAATCTTCTAATATGGACATTGCCAATGTGATTGCTGTATTTGCAGAATCCAAATGCTGTGAGACTCTAGTAAACAATGTTTTTTTCAGTGCAGTGTGCAATGGAGGGGTCACTTTTGGTGTTCTTGGTGTAGACAACACTTACAAGATTTGACACCTCCAGAAAGCAAAGCTTGCTCATCGGGGGAGCTTCCAGTATCAATCACCTGTGACCAAGAAAAGATCACCTTTCACATTCAGTACTGGCAGACTTACTAAGCAATAGTAGTAGTAGTAATATTAGTACTCTTCAATGTGAATGATAACACATTCTACAGGGTCATAGCATACTGTACCATTATTTTGGAAAAATAGTAGAGTAGGGCAAACTGTCCTTTTTTGGAACACCAACCCTATTCAATAATCAATGTACAGATACAATGTTTTTTATTTGCACCAATTATTTACTTCTTGATCAGATTTTATATTGTCATGTTCTTTTTTCTGCTACTCCACGTGTCATGGCTCTCATCTATTCAAACTGTGAACCAACCTTTTCCATTTTCACTGAGTGCAAGAAGAAGGACCTGCCTTTATTTGCTTGTTGTCAGTGTGCATGGACATGCTGGTCATGACAGGGCTCTCATCCATCCAACAAACAGTGAGCCACACCTCAGAGCATCTATTATCTTCTGATGTATCATTATTCTAGTACCAGTAGTAGTCAAGAGAAGTGATGGTTCTGGCCTGCTGCCTACTGCTAGTAGTCGTGTAGTAGCTGCTGTCCTAAGTAAAAGTAGTACTACTAGGAGTAGTGCTACCTCTGGTAGAATCCACAAGGTGACAAAATATAATATTTAGTTTTCAGATGAAATTGTTGCTGAGTAATACCCTTAGTTGCAGTGGCTAGTAGTAGTAGTAATACTGGTAGTAGCTGCACTCCTCACCCTCTACTGGCACCTCTTTTAGTTCATGGTGATGTTAAAAATATTAGTACTAGTAATATGATTTTTTATCCTAAAATGTCAGTCATTCAGTAAGGGCCCTCCATAACCCCCTCCCCCCCCCCAACACACAACCCTCTTTTGGAATTCCTCCCCTAGAAAAATAACCCACCAGATTTTGGTGAAGAAGAATAACCCACAAAACAAGCCAGGAACCCACAATAACCAACAAAAGACCCACTAATACTAACCCACAAATTTAGAGTCATTTGGGTTAGTAGATGAGAACCAAAGAACATGGTCATTAATGTTGAGTAATACCACAAAGTAATGTTTTTGGTGTAATATGCCCAACCTATTTGTGGGTTAGTCATGGGTTATTTGTGGGTTCAAAATGTGGGGGGTTACAAAAAAATAAGGGTTAATTTTTGTATTCCCAAACTATTTGTGGGTTATTCAAAGGTTATTTGTGGGTTCAAAACGGTTGTTACAAAAATTTTGGTTTCACAAAAATAACCCACATTTCTAAACCATGTACTACCTCCGTCCCACAATAATAGTACACTTCTTTGCACCTCTCTGATTGGATTAAGCTCAATATTTGGGCAATTCAACTCCTTTTTTTTAATTATGTTGATCTTGTTTAATACTTTTTGAATGTGTTACGTTTTATAATGCAGTACCAGCAACAATAATGGAAGAAACCTTCAAAGAAGCTAATTTTTTCTCATCAATATGAAAATACTGTCAGTTGGGTTCTACTGGTCATTTTGATACACTGCTACTTCTTGCACATGGGGATAGCTAAGAGTGACTGATTTTTTAGGCTGTAATTCTCTTCACCATGGAGAACTTTCTTGTATCAGTCATTCTTGTTCAAAAGAGGTGCCTGTTACCATTGTCAATGCAAACTTTAGTAGTTCCCTGTCTTAATACCATGACAGTGTATTTTCTGCATGTTGTACACAGTCATTTGTAGTCATTCTTGGAATCAAACAGCCAAAAACTATAAAAACTGTGAAGTAAATACTGGACAATTATTTATTGAAAAATAGAGTACTGCAAGAAAGTGTACTATTATTGTGGGACAGACGTAGTAGTTTGTTGGAAAATAACTCATGAAATCATGCCCTCGAATGTTGAATTTCAAGGGGGGGACTTCGCTCTTGGGTCCTGGAGCGGAGGGCCAAGAAAAACTCCTACAGTTGTTCGGTACCAGTTAATCTGTAATTACACCTAGAATTAACCCATAATCCTGCCCCACTAGTACTACTGTAACTTTGTCAGACTAGTTCTAGCTACTACTAAGCCACCAGGGCATCCTTAAGCATCCCAATGACCTGGATTGCCAAGTAACTGTATCATCTTGGTCTGGGCGATTAGTCTGGTGGTCTAAAGTTGTTTTTTGATTGAGTTCTGCCCTATTTTCTAACCAGCAGCTGGTCTCATAACTGACCAATTTTGGCCATAGTACCGGCTGTTAATGGAGAACTGGCTCCCCCTGGGTTCTAATCGTGTAACAATGACACACAGCACTCTTCTTAACACTACTATGACCGAGCATATCCCCAAAGGGGATCTCATTTGAGCCTGTTCTTGAGCTGTTGTGGTTAGCTTATTGAGCTGTTTGGGGTTGAAAGAGTGACCGAATACTAGTAGATCTATGTAGGATCAGTACTAAATACTGGGCTTCAAAATTAACAAAATTAACCGTGATGCTACTAGGAATAATTTTTGGTGTAAATCAGTTTGACTACGCAAGGGAGAAAATGCAAATTTGCATTTAAGTACAAATTTAGTCCCTTACGTGTTAAATGCATGCAATAAACTGCCCAATCTACAGAGCAAATGTAATTGTAGTGTAAAATACTAGCAACTAAAGATCAGATCAAGACCTAGTTTTTGGTAGAATTTATCTTAACATCCTTGCATCCTAATGAACATGTTGGGTTCAGTGGGTAGATGGGTTATACAATTTTTATGCTGAAACTACTGGTATAAGTAGGAGGTCCTAGTAGTATCAGTAGTAGTACTAGTAGTAGTACTAATTTGGATTAAAGTACAAATTTAGTCCCTTACTTGTTAAATACGTAGTTTTTGGTAGAAAAGTTGCAATTTCTCCCAGTTGCATTTTCTCCCTTGCGTAGTTGAGTAAAATTACTTTTTTCCATGTTGTGTGCGGTAGGCTTTTTACGGTTAAAGCATTTTATATCGAATTAACTGTACGTACCTTACTACGTACAGATTCAAGAGGGAAAATGTACGAGTACGTATGTGTACATACGTACCTACGTACTTGTACCTTCAAACTCCTCATTATATCTTTCGTGTGTTTGATGGAGAAGAAACGCGCCAATTTTTGGACTCGCATTTTTTCTGCATTTGACCATGCTCGCCGCCTGCCACGCAAATGCTTGTGTTTTGCGCGCCTTCAGGCCCGCCGAGGTGAGCAACACGTTTCCGTGTTATCAATGGAAGACTTCATCGAGCGAAGTAAATCTTCTTCTACGACCCATGCTGGGAGCCATAAATTCAAAACAGAGACATAGTCCGTCTGCAACCCAACAACCCATTCTAGTCTACCTATTGAAGACAAGCAAAGAATTCCAAAATGTTTGAAGCGCAAATGCAAGATGGAAAGATTTTCAAGGCAATTATTGAAGCCATCAAAGACCTCGTTCAGGATTGCAATCTGGATTGCAGCGAGGAAGAAGTAGCAATCCAGTCAATGGATTCCGCCCACGTTTCTCTAGTTGCCGTCCGTCTCAGCGCTGGTGGTTTTTCCAATTATCGCTGTGACAGGCCTAATTCCTTGGGAATTAACACAGCGAACATGTCGAAAATTCTCAAAATGCTTGGTAAAGATGACTCGATCACCTTCAAAGCAGAGGATGAATCACCCGACAACCTCACGATGTTGTTTGAAGGAGGGAAGACAACAATTGCTGATTTCGGTAAGTTTGCGAGAATTTTCTTGTAAAGCAGTCCAGACATAGAACTTGTCGATAGTTTCATGTACTCATATTGTTTCCCAATCCTGTCAATTCTTACAGATTTGAAGCTCATGGATATCGAGGCTGAACAGCTCGGAATTCCTGATACCCCGTACCAGTGCACTGTCCAGATGAATGCTGACGAATTCCAACGAATTGTCCGCGATCTGCAAGTCTTGGGCGATACTTGTACTATCTCGTGCGGTAAAGAAGGAATCCGCTTCAGTGTCACGGGGAACATAGGTAATGGGAACATCCTTATCCGTAGCAATGATGAACAAAACGAGAAAGATCGTGTCACCATCACAATGGATGAACCAGTTGAACTGAACTTTGCACTTCGATACCTCAACTTTTTTACCAAAGCCACTCCCCTGTCCTCTTCTGTCATCATTTCCATGTCCCCTGATGTCCCCGTTGTCGTTGAATATCCTATCGAAGATTTCGGTCATATCAAATTCTATTTGGCACCCAAGATTGAGGAGGATTAAATTTTCCATAGAAATGGGGTGGGTTATACCAATTGGCACTTACTGTAATATTTCTGGACCTGACTTGTTTCGCGCTGTTTCAAGTAGCGTCTCTAAAATCTAGTAGTACCGAAAAATGCGTTCACTTTCGTGACAAAAGCTGTGTTGTGGTTCAAAATCACCGATTACATGCGCTTCGGCGTCAATAGATAGGCCTATTTAGAACAAGTCTTCCTCGATGCGAAATCAACTACGAAATGGAGCGTGTCGATTTGAGGAAAACAATACTAATGGCTGTCAATAGAACCATGGTAAAGTGAAGTCGAAAAATACCGAATAAATAATTCTGTAAATGCAATTTTTTTAATGCGGCTTCATGACGAGAGTGACTATGATGGTTCAAGCGTACCGGTTGAAAACATCTTGAAGAGATCTCAATTCACAACAGTCAACTGCCGAATCCTTCTCCGGCATCGTCACCCAGCAATAGCTCCCACCATTTGAGGAGACAGAGATAGTTGTCGACACAAATGTTCTTGAGTTCAGAGTAATACAGATGGTGGTGCCTTTCGTTGGTATATTCAGCAATATGTTTGGATGATCAAAGGTGATAAGAGCCTTTTGCTCATCATTTATTGACTTGAAGGCACGCGTACACTGATCCAACTTTCCAAGAAATTTCCCAAGCTCAAAAAGGGAATCTTGTAGTGAAGAAGAATTCAGCTCGAGAGAAATCTCGCCCCCCGCAAGCATCGCTAGATGCCTTCGATGAAAATCGAGAATACACGCATTGTCTCTGTCTGACACGGTAAGATTGGACTCAATCACAATCCCAGCATGTGAGTTCAAATGAAATGTCAAATGAGTCTTTACACCGAAAACAGAATGAACATAGGTGAATTTCAATACATGGTCATCCTGAAACTCCTCGAAATTAAAGCCGTGAATGCCGATTTGGCCAGTCGCTAGGCAAAGAATGCAAGCTTTGGGAGCAGCGCAGGCATCAATCACATCGAGTGAGGATCTCTCCAAACGGATTTTATTTTGGAATTCTGAAATTTCGTTTATTATTTCAATCGTCTGAGCCGATGTTTTTGAGATGAGGCTGTTGACAAATGTATTTCTTTTTATTGTGTCCATCAGTACTTTTATCTTCTGCGTATCACGTCGACCAAATTCCAACATACAAGCTGTCAGGTCGTTCAAAAAAGCAATTTCGATATCCATCCATTCAGTCATTATCGTTTTCTTCACTACTGAGACATTATTCGCAATCGACGACTGTTTTTGATCTTTTTGTTTGGATACAAGAGCTCGTTCAACCCGTTCTTCAATCGAATTATTAGCGAAAGAGACATTTTCGTGTACGCATGGATCTATCAGTGCAAAATACCGCTGAAGATTGATACCTTTCTTTCTGGTAAAAAACGAAACGCTCTTGATTAAGGTTGCAAAATCCAATTCCTGATCTTTCCAAGGTGTCTCCAAAAGCATTTTAGCAGTTGTATTCGACGATCCATCACGACTCTGCCTAAGCGAAGGCCAAAAAAATATATTCAGTGTTCAGTAAAAAATATAGCATTTAATAGCACGGCGATAGCAAAGATGGCGCATTTGTCAACATGACATCACTTACAACCCCAATAGAACGCGACGACGAAGAATTGCTTGTAGAACTATCTGTTGGCAAATTTGGTCCTCGATTCGGTGAATCTTGGTCGAGAGCTCCACCAAATGCATTTATGCTATCAAGATCTGCAGTCTGTGAGAATGATGCCTGTTCTTCGGAAACCTTTGAATGTGCATTACTCATAGTTTTGAAACTTGCACTACCACGAGTCAGTTCAATCATACTAGAATTGGACATGTGCGGAGAAAGTTCCATTGCTCCGTTTGAATTGATCGTCCCAAGGTCTGCAACACAATCCCACGTCCGATGCTCATTTTCGCTTCCGGCAGAAGCAACCGGCATCGCTTGAGGAGTAGCAGAAGAATCTCTTTCGTCGAAACCTAACTTTGGCGGTGACATGCTTAATGAAGCCAGGTTTGTAGCGACCAAATCGGATGGAGAATCAGAAAGTCTCGATGTTAACACATTGTGCGGCTCCTTTGTAGCACTCGTTCTTTCTTCGTCGCAGATTTTCTCATCTGTATTATCATAATCTAGCGACAAACGACTTCCTGGGCTAAAAATTGAGCTGGACCTTCGATTCTTTTTTTTTCTTTTGCTGGATAATCTGCTCGTCTTCGAGCGATTGACAGAAAATTGATCCTCCCACTCCGATAAGATTAAATTATTTTCTTTTGTTTCCTGTGTTATTGCTTGCTCTTCTCGAGTAGATTTTTTGGGGTCCATTGAGTAACGTTTCTTAGTGACCTCCTGCGATAGAGGAGTCAGATGACCGGCAGGTCTATCAATTTCATATTCTACGGCAGATGGAATACCAAACTGGACGCGTCGTGGTTTGTGTGTATAATTGGATTCCGAGAACATGGCCAAGTTTTCTGGGGATTTCGAAGGCGTCTTATATTGGTTTGCCACACCTGTTGGCCTAGATGGTCTTGGATTTGAGAGGCTAGGTACGCCAAGAAGTTTGAAATATTTCATACAGAGATTTTAGCGGCACAAAATTCGAAACGAAACGGTATGAGAAAACGTCGGAACAATCTAATCGAGAAACTTTTCTCGTATTTCTTACCATCCCTTCTCTGGAGGAGCCCTTTTTGCTGAGAAGGAACTAAATTGAGGCTGTTTTTTTCCATTTCCTATTCCCACCAAAGACAATTTTGAGTGCTCGGCGCGAACTATCTTTTCGATACTGTCTGATCGTTCGTCTTCCTCGTCAGAAGAGGCAAAGGAAGGTAGATTATTTTTCTCGGTTCCGATAGAATGATCACATTTCCATAAACATAGAGCATCGTTCTTTATTTCCTGGGGACAAGTTGCATCTCCCCCTTCCGATGATATGCCCAGTGCGCCAGAGTGCTTTCCAAAATCCGATTTCGTAGAAGTAGGGCGACGCCTCCTACGCCTCTTTTTGCTGTGTTGGCGTCGAACTTCACTACCGTAGCGTTTGGCTGAAACAATTAAAGGAGGACGCGACCCAGCTGTCGGTGGAGTCAATGAGAAGTCCTTGCAGTAGCTCGGTCTGTCTAGGTTATTATCCATTTCTTTCTCTACAGGTGTAGACGAAGAAGACGAGTAGTTAAGCAATAGATACTTGTGTTGGCTTCCGTAATAATTTGGGACTGGTGATTGGACTACTTCGTCGTATGTTACGGACAGAGCTGAACGTTGCCATGGTGAACACTGCAAATTTTCCGTTTCTTTAGACGACTGTGCAGCTTCTGTAGAGGGAAGGCTGTCATTTTTCTCATTTCTTGGATGAGGAATACCCGACATATCAGTACAACTAGGGAAGGTAGAAGCAGGATCATCTTCGGCATCATTGAGATTCCTGCCTACATTTTTATTGACATCTTCATTGCTATTGGCGTCAACGAATATGTTTTCTATTCCTTTCTGTCGCCTAGCAGACGGCCTTGGCTGAAGGCGAGGAATCATGATTCTCTTTTCAACCAATGGCTGTCTAGCTAGTTTGATGTCACTATCGTACTATCATTAAATGTATACAGTTTGCTCAACCTTTTCCTCTCGTGATAACTGGGAAATAATGCACTCTCGTTCTAGGATCAATTTGTTTTTCGTCAGGTTGAGACAAGCAATTGTTGATACGGCTGACCTTGAATCAACAATCTACGGTAGTGGAGCACGGTTCGTTTGCGATCGTCTAGATTTCCCCTTGAATGATTTTTTCGGTCACTTAAAAAATGAATGCTTGCTCTCAGCTCTCGTTTTTCTGAGATAACTGCTGTAAATAAATAAATAAACGAAATTTGAATTTAGGCGCGAAATAATTATTGTACAAGGTACTACGAAGTCAGTCTGTACGTATGGTAAATCCCTGAGAGGTATGAGACATACAAACATGAGATTGGTCTGCTTCGGTGGCAGTGGAAGTCGAAGTTGTGGGACGATCTTTGGTGCTTCATTTCTTACATTGCACGCCACCACCAGCAATCAGTTATGCTGGCATCTCATTCACGTAACATTATTGTTTTACAATGTTTCATACAGTTCAAAACCCTACTGGCTATCTAAAAACATCCTATTGGAAAGTTTCTTGAAAATCCACCCCCCAGATCCCCCCTCCTCTTCGAGAACCAATCACAGTCAAAACTATTTTAGTCTTTTTTCATGTTTTGGCTTCCATGATTGGAAAAAATACTACTGTATTTACTAGTAAAAGTAACACCCCATCCTCTGATTTTGGTGGCACGTGCTGTCCCTATCTAAAAGAAAATTCGAGGCGGATTTTCTTTTAGATAGGGACAGCACTTGCCACCAAAATCGTACGACTCCGAGGCAAGTGAGCTGCTCTGAAAATTCCTATAGGAGGCTCCTTTTTTGAGGCCCCCGGCCGAGGAAAAGGAGCCTCCTATGAATTTTCAGAGCAGCTCACTTGCCAAGGAGGAGGACAGCAAGAGGAGAGGGGTGTTAGTTGTGTAATCCAATGCTTGCAAGGTTGAGCAGAGTGGAGGAGACCCTTGCTAGCGATCAATGTTGCTGTGTCGTTGCTGCTTTTCTGGGGGGACAACAAAAAACCTGTATCGCTACGTGATTTACGTAGGCCTGGTACAAGATGGTACCAAAGTGCCACTTTCAAAATGCATCATTCAGTAGAATCTGTACTACATTCTACTATGCGGTGCTGCTTTTCTTTGGATTTCACTCACAAAACTGCTGCAGCTGCAGTATTCATTATTTAAATCTAGGTCACTTTCAAAGGCTTCCTTGCACTTTGACCATGGGAATAGGTAAGAACTGGTGTAAGTGTCCTTTGTGTCAGGGTCCTCCGTGTCAGCGTCCTCCATATCAGTGTTGTCATCCAGTCCATATCAGCATCCTCCACATCAGCAACTCGTATCAGTATCCTCCATATAGTATCAGCGTCCACTGCATCGGTGTTGTGTGTTGTTTCAGCAACTGAACTACGAGCACTGCCTCCTCCGATATAGGGGAATGGGCTCTTATCCCTCCCTGGATCCTCCTCCGATATAGGGGAATGGGCTCTTATCCCTCCCTGGATCCTCCTCCAATATAGGGGAATGGGCTCTTATCCCTCCCTGGATCTTCCACATCACCTGCATTGTCTGTATCAGCAACTCCCCATATCAACGTGTCTGTATCAGTGTGTCCATATCAGTGCGTCCGTATCAGCGAGTCCGTATCAGCGAGTCCGTATCAGTGAGTCCGTATCAGCAAGTCCGTATCAGCGAGTCCGTATCAGCAACTCGTATGAGCGTCCGCATCAGCACATCCGTATCAGAGCGTCCGTATCAGTAACTCGTATCAGCAACTCGTATCAGCGTCCTCCATATCAGAGTCCTCTGTATCAGCATCAGTGTCAGTATCAGCGGACAATGTATCAGCGGACACTATATCAGCGTCCATATCAGCAACTCATATCAGCAACTCGTATCAGCGTCCATATCAGCAACTCGTACTCATAGCACCGTAGATGTAGGACCATTATCGTACTGGAAGTACAAGTGCACGAAATAACGTGTACTTTGTAGTAGTAGTATTCTTTAGTAGTGTTTATTAGATTGCTCTAATTAGGATTGTGAGACTAACTAATGAATATACTGAATTGCTCAAAGGATTCACCACTTACACAATCCTTTGTGTTGTGCTAATCCTTTCATTGCAATCTGTAATGTAATCGACAGTAGAAATATACATCCAAGCAGTACAAGTCAAGTGTGT